CCCACTCTCACTCCTTCAGCCGCCACATCACAGACGTATCTCATTGTGTGTGTGGATATGTTTTTTGTGTGTGTCAGGTGACATGTACCACGCGATTTGGGACCCTCGATGCGTTCCGCCCACGACCAACCCGCCGGGTGCGGAGTACTACAAGCCGCGGCCGAAGAGACTGCCCGAGGTGGGCCTCCGTGACCCGGCCGTCAGGCAACGGGCACTACACGCAAGTGTGTGTGACAAACCGGGAGGGCTGAGAGGGAGGGGAGGGGAGGGGAGAATGGATGGCTGTGTGTCGTTTGCTGTTGTGTTGTGTTGTGTTGTGTGCAGAGTTACTTCATCGACTACTTCAGGTTTGACACGCTGGGCAAGATAGCTGTGGCCTGGCTGAACCAGTGCCACCAGCCCGACATCTACGCCGAACAGAAGGCAAGTCTGCACCCACACACAAACACGTTCCTAGGAGTGTTGGTTGTCTTGTCTTGTGTTGTTGTGTTCTCACATCGCACCAAACCACATAGGCCCGCCATCCGACGTGCCTCGAGCTCGCTGAGCTGCACAGCGATGCTGTCGACTTCGCAAAGACCGGTAGGCCATTTACTTATGCGGTCAAGTGGGTGCATCTGGGGCATAATGTGGCCGCTGCTGCGCTGTGGTGCGCTGTGGTGTGGTGTTATGTGCTTGTGTGTGCAGGCGAGCCTGTGGTTCTTTCCACGTCGCTGATTCCACCGTTGCGGCCGGACTTCCTGGCCACGGCGTATCACGAAGAGGTCAGACAGACACCCAGACACACAGACAGACAGACAAACAGACAGACAGAGGACATCCAACCGTTCGTTGTGCGCGTGTTCCGTTGGTTTGTCGGTGTTTGCTCAGCGTGGGAGGATCTTTGTGTCGAACAGTGTGATTGGCGACATATGCCGCCAGGCCAAACAGGAGGAACGACGCTTCGAGGAGGAAGGTCAGCGGATGACACCAATGGCAGACAGACAGACAGATTCACACACATGCACACACACACACACACACACACAGAGAGAGAGAGAGAGGCACGGAGGCTCTTGTGGGTGTGTGTCCTGTTGCAGATGAGCGTTGCCCGATGCGCGTGGAGGTGGTGGATGGTGTGGAGGTGCGCACAGACGCCGACGGGCAGCCGATGTGGCGGCTGGTGCAGCTGCGGTGGGTCCTGCCCTGCACACTCACAGGCCTCGTTGAAGGCCACATCATCAAATGGCGATACCTCCCTGAGTGAGCCAACAAACACCACACCACACTCCATCCATCCATTCATCGCTCCCTGTCCGTGTGTGTGTGTGTGTTTATGTGTGCTGTGTGAACATCAGCCCTGAGCACATGGATCGCCATCACGTGTGCGACCAGCTGCGGAAGTGCACCGTGCGGTTCAAGGACCTGGTGCACAACACCCACAGCTCCGCCACCACCGCCAAGCTGTGCATTCCGCTGCACGTCGAGGCCGTCCAGTTCCAGGTGCAGTGCAGGCTCACCAACGGCAGCCTCAGCGACCCCTCGGCCCCCTCCCCGCCCAACTACATCGATGTCGAGGACAAGTACAAGACCGCCGCGCCCACACGTACGTTGGAGAGGGACGCAGGGAGGGAGGGAGGGAGAACAGGCTTCTCGCACCTGTGGTTTGGTTGGTTTGCGCAGTGTACCGTGACACCGTGTTGCTCAAGGATGTGCTGTTTTGTCGCGAGTTCGACAACGGCCAAGGCGTGCGCTTCACGAGGGGCGTCACCGTCACAGACCTAGAGTGAGTGAGAGAGAGAGTGAAAGATAGAGACTGTATGTGTGTGCGCTGGCTGGATGGCTGGATGGAGGGCTGGATGGCTGTGCGTTCTCTCTTACTGCAGAAAACAGGTGGATGTCAAAGCCGCGCTTCTTCTCGGCTACCCAGGCCCCCATGTCGTTGGGCCTGTCATAGTACGTCGGCACACACACACACACACACACACACAACAGATGCCCACACAAGCCGCGCTCACACACCCACTTCATGCCTGTTTTTCGTGTGTGCGCCCATGTGTGTGTGCAGCCGACGACCCAGTTTCTGCAGGAGCTCGACGTGGGCGTGGGCAGGATGAGCGTGATGGTGCGCTTCGTCGACGAGAAGACCGCCAGGGCCTTCATGACGTACGTGAGCGGCAGCCTGACCGCATTCACACATCCATCCACCCACCCATCCATCCATCCATTACTCGATGACGGTATGTGCTACTCACTGGTGTGGTTGTTGTGGTTGTTGTTGTTGTTGTTGTGTCAGTGCGTTGCACATGGAGTGTGGCGGCAACGGGCGACGGCTGATGGGTGTGAGGGAGAAGGACGGCAGACAGCACCACTTTGTCCGCGTCGACTACGGTGAGGCACAGGGAGGGAGGGAGGGAAGGAGGTAGGGAGGGAGGAAGGCAAGCCCATAACACACCAACCGTTGTGTGTGCTGCCTGTGTGTGTGTGTGTGTGTGTCCATCCATCCATCCATCAGTGGAGGACCCCTACATCCAGGCCTACGAGAACCGCATGTCGTCGCTGTCCCACGAGTACGGCAAGGACAACAGCAGAGAGGAGAAGCTGTTCGGCCCGCCTGTCTTCGGACGCATGAGGCGCATCGAAGGACTGCACGGCGTCAACTACCCCGGTACCGTACCGACCAAGCAACCAGCCAACTAGAGCACATCACATGATGCGATGCACCTGTGTGTGTGTGTGTGTGTGGGATGTGGGTGGGATTCATTCAGAGAACGGCGAGCGTGCAGACTTCTACAACAAGGGCTTCCTTGCCGACCAGATGGCCGCCATTAGGAGATTCCTGCAGTCGCTGGCCCTCGGGGTCGTCACGAGTGACGGCGTGGTGGATGTCCTCGCCCTCCCCTCTGAGCGTGGGAGGGGCACCGCCCCAACCTCATCTCTTCACATCTTGTTTGAGGCAAGACAAACACAACACGCGCAATGCCTCCATCCATCCATCCATCCATTTCCCTCTGTCTGTGTGTGTGTGTGGGTGGATCGCTGGATTTTCGCAGAGCGAGGCGATTGCCGACGCCTTCGACCGCCACTGGGCGCAGCACAGTGCCGACGACCCGCTGCTGGCCGGCTTGGTCGGCCCGTTGAACCCTTGGCCCGACCAAGGGCGTCGGGCGTCGGGCGACGAGAGCAGCCCCCCTGCGCCCGATGCTGTGGCTCACTTCGAGCAGTTCTATCTCAGACCTTATGAATGCACCAATCCACACACACACAGAGACAGATAGACAGACAGAGGGGACCTACAGGCAGCACCGTACGGCCTCGTGTGTGTGTGTGTGTGTGTATGTGTGTGTGTGTGTGCGTGTGGGTCTGGCCGCAGGTACGAGATATCGGTGTTCGATTGGCAATGGAGCCAGGTCGGTCAGAGTCGTTGGGTTAGGTGTCCATCCATCCACAATGTGGTTCATTCAGTGTGGTCGTTGGTGTCTGTGTATTGGCTGGCCGCAGGACGAGCTCAAGGACTACATCCTGACGAGCCTGGCGGGGAGCCCCCTCGACCACCTGCAGCAGGCGGCGCGTTCCGGCGAGGCATCCCCGCTGTACCCCATCGAGCGCATCACCCCAATTCGACACAGACTAAACCACCGAAACGTTCGGTAAGGGCTGAAGGATGTTCAAGGCCAACACACCTGGATCGTTATGCGCTATTTGTCTGTGCGGCAGTGAGCCTGCCATCAACCCCGCTGAGCAGCCCGCCGAGAACAAGCCCACCTCATACTCCGTGTCTCTCCGATCGCTCGATGCCGTCCTCCACTTCATCAAGCCCTGGCGCCATGTGGCCGGCGACGGCAGCATCTTCAAGCGTCCTACACCACTCAACAAGACGCCACGGCAGCCACCCAACCGCAACCACTCCTTTGCCAGGGGCCGGGGCCCCGTGTCCCCGTCGCCATCGTCTGGCGGCCCCTCCCCCCAGCCCTACCACAATCGGCCCATCCCCCGCCACGCCACACACATGATCGATGAGGATGCGGCAGATGACCAAGAGGCAGAGAATCAACAGCTGGAGCGAGAAGGCGAGGATGAGCCGGCCAGCTCGAGTGCGGGTCAACCTGTGCTGTGTCGGACATTGGCGCTGTGGCCCGGGCCTACACATCATTGGCGCTGGCTCGTCTGAGCGGCAGCGAGCAGCGCCCGAGCCAGATGCAGCCGCTCGGTGGTCGAATGGTGCTTCGCGACGTGTTCTTTGACAGTGGGGGCGGTTCATGCGGCAGCAGTGCGTCTGAGGAGGTCTGCGACGGCGAGGACGACGAGGAGGCCAAGCTGTGGCGCTGGCAGGCTGACCAGCCCGTCCCTCTGGGGGTGTTGGAACCCAAGTTCCTGCACCGCGATGCGGGACGCTATGTCCGCCAGATGGCGGAGGAGAACACGAAATGGATCAACTCGGTGGGTGGCGCACGCACAAAGGCAGACGGACGGACTGGCTGAGGGCAGTGGGGTCTCATGCCATGCACCGTCTCTCTTTGCATGTGTGTGTATGTGATGGTCCAGTTGAAGACGTTGCGGACTCAGTATGGTGTGACGGATGAGTCAGAGCTGCTGACGGGCATCGTACGCGCCACCGACAGGGACCGACAGCGAAGCCGGAAGGACAAAGACGTCGCCTCAAGGGTACCCACATCCCACACACAGAAAGCACCGCACCCACACACAACCACACGCCCTCTCATCTCTGGATGTCAGATGACGTTTGAAGTGCGCAAGTTGATCGAGTTGACGAGTGCCAACCTGCTGCGCATCGTGCCATCGGCTGCAGATGGCGGCGTCGATCAGCAGCAACAGGTGGCGCTCGCATCCGCCGCGTACATCGCCGCATACGAGCAGTATCGGTAAGGCGCAAGACTGCACTGGTGACCGGCTGGCTTGTTGGCTGCACCGTGTGTGTGTGTGCAGTTCGTGTCGCATGTCGGGTGGCAACGTAGCATTTGAGTCGTTTCTGAGCTTCCCCTGGGGTGAGTGAGCAAAGACAAGCATGGAGTCATCGACGTCTGGATGGATGGATGAATGGATGGCTCGGTGCAGCCATCTTTGGTGCCGAGCTTCTGCAGCTGCAGGACCGCTACATCCACTTCTACAGGTGCGTACACATCCACACACACAGCGACCAACCAGCACACGCAGCACTATCTGGTCTGTCTCACCTCACCGTCTTCTCTCAGAAGCTACCCCCACGCCAAGCGGCCTCAGTTGTCGAACGCACTCATGGACGACACCGTCACGCCTCCAGACGTCATATCAGGTGAACCATGAGCACGAGCCAGGCCGATCGTTGCGGCTCCACTACCCTCGTGTCTCATTGTTGGCTGGTTGGTCGTGTGTGTCTGTCAGATACCTCCGACGCCTCCCTGCCCCTGTTTGGCTGCCACTACGATTCACTCGAGGTCTCCCGGCTCCATCACATGATCACCACAGCCACCAGCCAACTGTCGCCCGGCCAGCTTACCACGCCCATCCGGAGGCTGAAGCCACTCGGCCCTCCCGACCCACGGCCACAGCCACAGCCACGTGTCCCCAACACTCACCAGCGAGGCCACCAGCAGCAGCAGCAGCAGCAGCGCCCCAGCGGTCCGCGGCCGAGCACCTCATCTGCTGCACCGGCTGGACGTCCTTCGGTGGTCCCAGCCCCCAAGCAACAGCCGGGGCCGCAGCACACGCCTTTTGCGTCGCTGCAGAGGGCCAACCCATCACCTGTGGCCCGACAAGTATCTGCTGCTGCTGGTGCTGCTGCCCATGCCCAGGTGCAGCATCGCCCCACTGTCGACGGAGACGCCGTCAGCACCCGAGTAGCCCGACGCCCCAACACGAGCGTGCTGCAGCAGGCTGTCCGCACTCATCTGGGCAGATCGGTTGGTGGCCTGCCCTCTGCTCAGGGTCAGCCCCCCTCCCAGCCCACCCGCACGGTGTCTCAGGCGTCATCAGCAGCCCCACAATTCCAGGATGAGGATCTCTGGCAGTCCCTCATTGCTGGCAGCAACGGCAACGGGTTGGGCGGTTCGTCACCAGCGCCAGCTGCCCCGCGATCTGGTGTGGTTGGTACCCCCGAGTTCGAGCAGGCATGGCAGAGTGTCTTGCCGTCGATGACATCACAGCGGTCCATCCAGCAGCCGCCGTCTGTCGCACCGCCCCCGTCGCAGGAGAGCCGAAACCAACCTCATCCGCCGTCCCCCATCTCGCTCGTGTCGGTGCCTGAGAGCCCCGCTGCCCACGATCGTCAACCAGGCTCTCTCTCTGTGGCCCCGCAGCCAGTGGAGGAGCCCAGTCCCTCTCTTGCCCAAGTCACGCCAGCAAGGACTCCCGCACCACCGCGTCTCAGCGCCAGCCGGCCTGCGGCCAACACCTTTGCGGACACCCGTCTGGACCATGATATTGGCGTCGCCCGCGACCGTGACGGTGATGGGCGATTGGGGGGCCACCAGCCGGCCATCTCTCCCTCAGATTGGCCCACCTCTCTCGACGGCCCGTCTGTCAGCCGCGCAGCCATGCGCCCGAGCACGCGCGGCCAGTTGCATGTGGACCGTCAGGACGAGTCGCCCCTACCCCTCCGCAGACAAGAGCGACATGAGAGGCGGGGGTACAGGATGGGAGGGGGCCGGGGGGACGGCCTGAGACAGCTGGAGGGGCCGGAGCGCCGCGAGCACGACCACCGTGGGCGTGATTATGATGACAATCGAGGCGACCGCACGTACCGCAACACCGGCCATCTTGACCGCATCGCATTCCCCCCTCGTCACACACCCGGCCTCCGCAGACACGACCTCGCGGCCTCGTCCTTGTCTCGTGAGTCGTCTCGTGGTGCCGGTAGGCATGGCCGGATGGATGATCTGGCCCATCCACCGATGCCGCGTGGCCGTGAGGGCCGCTACTCTGGCAGCAGCCGTCCCCTTTCACCCGTGAGAGGCCGTCTGCCGCAGCAACACCGTCCCCGCAGCCCATCGCTCTCCAGCCACCGTTCGCCAACACCGCCCCGCCTGCCGCGCCGTGTGCCCGGCATCAATGCAGGCAACGACCGCCGAGACAATCGCTACCTCATGGAGGCCGACCGACATCGTGACATGCAGCGTGACGACCGAGCACGGGGGGCGATTGAGCAGGGCCTGGCTGCTGATCGGTATGTGGGGGGAAACCCTGGCGGGCGAGGGGGACAGCAGCGAGGCCAGGATGGGGGCAACAACAACAACGCCAACATCCACATTAGTGTCGTCCCTCCGACAGAGACGAGCATGCGCATGCACCAACTGATGCAGGAGGTACGTCAGGCAGAGGGCACACAATCCACCTGCTCTCCTCTCCTCACTCACATGTCCTCTTGGATTTGTGTGTGCGTGCAGAATGCGGAGCTTCGCGCGAGGTTGGCGCAGGACCGTCCATCCGAGCACTTCCACAGCCACAACCACTACCACCAGCACGTCTATCGCAACACCGATCGTGCCCGTCGCCTGATGGGTGGACAGGGGGAGGGGATCGACGGGGGGTACGGTGGGTATGGTGACTGTGAGGTGGAGAGCCGCCACGGCTCCGTCAATCGCGGCGAGCCGCACGGCCGGCGTCCCTATGGAGGAGGAGGATACCCATAAGGAGGCAAGAATCAGTCACTCACTCTTTCACTGGCCTTTGAGGGGAGGGCAAGGGAAAGAGGGAGGGGCAGAGCCAAATTTTGCGGTCCATCATGCACACACCATAGCAGCAGCAGAAGAGCAGAGTGCCGTAGAGTAGATGATGCCTTAGGTCCGGTGCTATTTGTGTCATTGATGCATGATGATGTGCGACGTGCTGCCTTGCCTTGGGGCTGGGAAGTGTATTTGATTGCGTGCAGTATGAAGCAGCTAGTCCACAGCCATGCTTGCCCAACCCCCGCCCCATCTCTCTCCCTCTCTCTCCCTCTCTCTCGCGGCTTGCCGAAGCGATGTGTCTATGCGCATTCTGCCTGTGCGTAGGTACATGGCTCCCAATCGCAGAGAGAGAGAGGGGGGAGAGAGCAGAGAGAGAGAGAGAGAGGAGCACCAGCTAGCCAGCCACGCGCTCAGTCTTGCAGCAGCAGCCTCGCCTTCTTGTGATATCAACACATTGCTGCAGTCAGTCTACGAAGGAAGGGAATGAGACAGGGGCTTTGGGACGGGTACCCCGACTCATCGATGCACGCATGTGGATATATCGTAGCGTGCACTATATAGTGTGGTGAGTCGGGGCCGCAGTCAAACATGCAAAGACTTGACGTCTCGCACATGCAGCCAGCCATGAATGCTCTTCATGCAGGCATGCAAAATTGATCCGCCTTCCCGCCTCCTTCCCGCCCCCTCACACACACTCACACACATTCCTTAGCCACAGAGCCACATGCGGCCCTGTCTGACTCATTTCGTCTTCTTGTCTTCAAATGCATCCATCTCGAGGCGATTTGTGTCTCTCAGTGCCTGCACAAGCAATGAGTGCCATCAAAGACATACAGAGCACTCGATCACCAGGCATGCGAAAACGTGTGTCTCAGCTACCTGCAGCTGCAGCTCCACCTGTCGCAGCTGCATCTCGAGGCCCTCAAAACTTGTCAAATCCAACTTGTGGCGCCTGAGAGACACACGTCCATGCATCCACAGACAGGCAGGAACCTACATATGCAAAGCCCTCCGACCTGTAAAGCCTCCTCCGTTTCCGTGCCACTACTGCATCGATGAACGACCCCGCAGAGTAATCGGTCCGCACAAATGCATAAAAGGTGTATGCAGCCACGGCATCGAAGAAGCCCAGCAGATATGTCAGGGGCTCCATGATATCCCTGCACACACACACGCAGCAGCAGCACATGCCCATCTTCCCCATCTGTCTTCATTTTCAGGTGCATCTATCTATCTGTCTCTCGCCCGACCAGTTGTACAACCAAAATGTGCCGTATGCGATGCCCGTGAACTCCAGCGAGAAAAAAGCCACCGAACCCCACGCCCAGAGACCAACAGTCCATGTCGCCTGTCTGTCAAGGCGATTCTGAAAAAGCAAGGAAAGATGGGATCCGTGCTCATGCACATGTGAGTGTCTCGCTCACTTTTAGCTCCCTCATCGGGTCGAGAGTGTTCCGCAGAGTTCGGGCCTCATTCCTCAGCTGGTGAATGGCTGCAGCCCTCTCGGCCCTCTCGGCCACCAATGCGCTTTCGATAGCCCGCTCCAGCTCACCAGATGTGGCCGGCACCTTGGCCACCGAAGAGACAGCCGTCCGCAGCCTTTCGACCATCGAGCTGACGGGCACCAACGCTTTTGCCCTCGCCTGCACCTTCAGATAGTCGACATCCGTCATGGCCCTGGCCTCCAGACCTGCCGATGGTGCGGGCAGCTCTGCTGCATTGTCGTCAGCCACACGGGGAGGGAAGACATGGAGGATGAGTGGCGGCACTGGGAAGGTGCTGCCGTCAGGGAAAGACACCAAGAGGCCGGTCTTGACAAGCTGATCCAGTGGTGTGTGCGGGGCGAGAGGCAGGCCGTCGGGGCTGTGGATGTCGACTTTGTCGGGCGAGGAGGGCAGCTCTCCCAGGGTTTTGCTGAGTGTGCCGACGGTCTTGTTGGCGATTGGCACCATGATGGGCTGCTGTGCGACCGTCGTGTCGAACACGAACTGAATGACGGGATCACGCCCATCCTTGAACGCCAGCTGGACACCTACAACGACGACGGGCAGACAGACAGACAGACAGGCAGGGAGAGACATTGTCAAGCAGTCATCTGTCTGACCATAGATGACCACGTGTGCTTACTGAGGGGCGGTATGAACTTCTGTGTGGTCGATGCAAAGCCTCGAGAGCCGAGGAAAGCCGTGAGATAGGCCGGATGGCCTTGCCACGTCTGGTGGGGCCTGCATGAATGGGGCATTCTTTTGAGGCTGCGGAAGAGCTGACGAGCGAACGAATTCATTGCAAGAGCTTCGTACGATGTGAACTACCGGCGGGGAGGACGAAACTGCGAACGAAGGAGCAGCTGATGATTTTGAGCTCGCACTGGCAGTCGATCTCCAGCATTGCACCAGGATCTGCAGAATGCTTCGTCGGGCGCCTCCAGTCGTCCCCTGGAGCGCACCAGTGGCGGCTTCATCTGTATCTGCACCGCCTCATCTGACTCATCAGCGGCGCCGCTTCGGCTCTTATCAGAAGGCCAAGGTCGAGAAGACCTATGAGAGGGCGCTGCTGCAGACGTCAGAGTACCTCAAGCGCTTCGCACATCCCAAGGACATGACGCGGCGGGAGCCCGACCTCAAGAGTCGCTACACCTACGAGCGCATCAACGCCCGGTTCATGCCGAACGCTCTGAAGAAGGAGATAGAGGAGCAGGAGAAGAAAGATGCGGCCGTCAGCGGGGAAGAGGGTGTGGGCGAGGGGGTGCTGCTGGAGGCCTTGCGGACCACCAAGTATGAGGGACTCATCAACGATCTGGACCTGGAGCCTTTCGGCAAGATGTCAGTGGTGCATGGGGATATCTTTGAGTGTGAGGCTGACGCTATACTCGTCCCGATGGTGCCCAACTTCCTCCCCTATCGCGGATTCAGTGAGCGGGAAACAACACACAAAACACAAGAGGGTGCATAGGAGGGTGCACATGGGTCTTCATCTGTGCTGTGTTGTGCCTGCCTCCCATTAAGGTTTGGAGGTGTTTGATCGTGGCGGGAAGAAGCTGGTGCGGGATGCCTTCTACCAGGTCAAGAACCAGTACATCCTCAAGGAGTTCAAGAGACGCGAGGAGAAGGCCAAGCAGGAGGGCCAGCAGGTCGACCCCGCATCGCACATGCAACTCGCCGCTGATGTCGAAATCGGTGAGTCAGACGGCAAACTGACCGGTTTCAAGTCACGCGCGTATCCATCCATTGATGTGTGTGGTGCCGTTGTCCAGGCCAGGTGTTTGTGACAGCGAGCCATGGTGTGGGCAGGAGCCAGCTGCTGCTCTTCTGCGTCATGCCCTACTACTGGCGTAAGCAACCAACACACACGGCGTCACGTCAGCAGCTGACGACCCATCGGACGTTGTCTGTTGCTGGTGTCGGTGTGAGTGTGTGCAGAGGGTGGCCCCACTGACGCTGCGAGGCGACTGCGGTACACTATCAAGAAGGCCCTCTCGCAAGTGACCTCAGAGCTGCCCTTCATCAGCACCCTCTGCCTCCCCCACATCGGCTGTGGCCTCTATGGCTACCAGCCCGCGCGCCACACACACATCCTCATGGAAGAGGTCATGGAGGCACTACTGCAGGTACGCGTCAGTGGTTGACACAGGCAGACACAAACACGTTCATTTGATCTGCTGTGTGTGCAGGTTGAGGCCGAGAGCCCCCGATACACGCTCGAGAAGGTCATTTTCTGCGACAAGGACGCGAACACTGCCAGGGCTCTGAAAGAAGCTCTAGATGACCTGGCCGAGCAGTGGGTGCCTGAGAGACAGGTGGGGGGAAGAGACAGCGATTTGCCTGCCTGCAAGACAGCATCATCGAATGTTGTTGGTGTATGTGTCATGTGTGTCAGTTGGTGCCTTACGAGACGTATCACACGGACAAGACCAAGCGTGTGCTGGAGATCCCTGCCAAGAAGTTCTTCCAAGAGGGCAACAGACGCAAGGAGAAGATCTCATTCAAACGGGTGAGCAGAGTCGAGATTTTGCCTCGATACACACACACTCTATGTGTCGTTGAATGCTGTCCGTTGTCAGCACCACTCGGTGACCCGTCGGATGGGGGTCATGTACCGCAACTCGATTCGCCGCTTCATGTGGAGACCAGCAAGATGCCTCAAACCAAACCCATTCCTCGTAAGACCCGCACACACAACCAACGACCAACAACAAGCAGGGAACACACACCCTCCTTGTGTGGTGCAGGTGCACAAGTCGACGGGCGAGCCGGCAGCGCCCGACCGTCAGCCTCCGCCCACGCCCTTTTACTACCGCGGCGTCACCCACATTCTGTTCCCGGTGCCGCGGACCGGCTTCAAGTCTCAGAGGGTGGACAGCAAGGGCCGCATCGTGGGCGACGACCGCATCCCCAACATGGGGATGGAGGTCAAACCAAGAAATTGATGGATGGCTGGCTGGGGTGCGGTTTTCGCTCTCGTGAACTCTTGGTTTCGTGACATTCTTTTTTTGAGGGCGTGTGTCCCTCCTCATCCATCTGAGGATTCTGACGCATGGCGGCTATGTGTTGGTGTGTACAGCTGCATTCGGAGCGAGCGCACCGACGCGCCCTCGAGACAGTACTAATGTGACCTTCCCGTCATTGAATGGTGCAGAAAAGGCTGTCATCCCACGAGTGGTCTTCGTGACACAGACATGGCCGGCCACACACAGCATCCATAGAGATGCAGCATGGATATATCGATGGTCGGACGGAGTCTCAGACACATGAAGCTACCGTACAGCGTTAGACAGGCAGATACACACACTTACGCACACCATCACGCGAGGATATACGGATAGACATGTGTCACGATGGCACACGAATGTGCACATGGGCTGCCACGCACACACACACACACACAGAGAGAGAGAGGGAGAGAACTGCACCTTCATCATACACAAAAGTTCTGCATCGATGGCACTCGGCCAGTTGACGCATTTTCTACACGCAATCACGCAACACCTGACAGCGCAAATAACGGACAAATGGATGAAACAGGGACTGCACGCACCGATAAATACACCTGCCGACACATATGCGCCCCTCTGTGGCCTACCGGCTGCAGACCGACATCACAGGAAGGCAGCCAGGCAGGAAGGAAAGAAGGCGAAGAGGCAGGAGAGACAGAGCTTAAACAGCCCCTTACAAAGCAAGCTTAAAGAGCCCCTCCCTCACTCAGTCACTGCCAACGAAAAGAGACACAGTCACCTCCCCAGGGACCCTCCCATACAAGAAACGTGCCCTTACAGATAGACAGATAGATGCATGTACTTCCATCGACCACAAAACTTCACCCTCCCACCTACCCACCACTCCAGCGACGCATGTGTGTCGCCCCTTCAGTCGTTCACACGCCATCACACACGAAAGTACAATACAGCTCCTCCCTTGATTACACTGAATAAGCCGCCGTGCGGAGCTGCCGGCATACGTGCGCGCACACACGGTCGGCAAAGCCTCAGACAGACCAGTTGGACTGTTCATCGTTCCCCTCATCTCTGTCACACGGCTCCGACAGACACAGCCGCGGCGTCATCAGCTCGGCACTCGCTGGCCCCTCGCCACCAACCCCATCGGCCATCCTTTGTTTCTGCCGTCGCCAGTGATGACGAATCGCCACAAATGCGAAGATGCCGCCGCGAACCAGCACGACCGACGAGGTGAGCACTGCCGAGACGATGTGCATCCTGGGGTCGCCTTCAGACGAGTAGGCGAGCGTCAAGGCCATGATGGGCAGCTCCAGCAGGGCCAGCAGAAAGACCAGCGCGTTCTGCCGGAGAGTGAGGCCGCCGAGGGTCCTAAATTCATACTGCACGTTCATCGACACGGCGTCCGAGAGACTGAGGACCAGGATGACCACCCCCGGCAGTATCCGACCGTGCTTGATCAGCTGGGTGCCCACAGCCACGTCTGAGATGAAGTCCCATACCATGAGGAGGTATCCGCAGAATTTGAGTAGCCGCTCCAGCAGCACAGCGTCGACCTTCCGTTGTTTGGAGAGCCACACGTAGGCTGCAAGCTTCTCATAGACAGGCAGGCCCCAGTCTGCCGCTCCAGGCACCGGACGGACTCTGTACTGTACCACGAACTTCCTCTGAGGCCGGGAAATGATCGATGTTTGCGAGGTGCACGTGTCGATTGTGGCTGGGTAGGCCCGCGGCACCGCTACCATGATGAACATGAAGGAGATGAGGATCAGGCCCCCGAAGAGCCAGAGGTACGTCCACAGTGTTCCCAGAGGCACATAGAAGAGCAGGGGGCCGGAGAAGGTGAGCCCAAGCGGCACAACGATGTTGAAGGCCTTGAGGACCTTAGGCGACCGCGGCGGGAGAGAGAGGAAGTAGACGCACGTGACGAGAACGACGACGGGGTCCAGCATACCCAGCACATACAGCCACACCGGCATCTTGTCCGACACCGGCATAAGTGTTTGCAAACCCAACACCATGTAGACGGAGTAGCCGATAGCACACAGCCAGTACAGACCAAAGAGCGCGGGCCCGTCCGTCATCCACAGCCTCATCGGTCCCACCTCCAGCGTGTACCACCCCCACTCAACATCACCGTCGTCATCAATGCACCGGTTGGGCTTGCTCAAGATGGACGCAGCTGAGGTGCTGGACCTGCTCGTGCCGATGGCCGTCGATAAAGTTGCCGGTGGGCATTTCGACGACGATTCCAACGGCCCAGAGCTGACCGACGAGCTGCTGAAGGTAGTCATGAAGTTCGACAGCGTCAGCTCGCCAGCGGGCTCCTCGGCCTCTGTGTCCGTCTTCAGCGGCAGATCCACACGAAAATCACGAGGCCCGAACATATCAAAGTTCCACTCTTTCGCGGCGGCGCACGGCTGCCTCTGAGCAAACGCGCTTTCCGGGGTCGCATGCGAGTCCTCAGGACGATGAGAGGGGACGGGAGAGGGTCTTCTCTCGTCGGCAGTGATGACACCTTGGCAGCAGGCAATGATCGGCGCACACCAAATGTTGCCAAGGTGATTGGCTGCTCTCGATGACGCATCTGCATCGCCGTCGGTCCTGCTGGCGGTGGCAGACCTCATCAGTGATGACAGGGGACTCCCACGTGGTGGCCTGCACTCATCAGAAGATGCAAGGGCGCAGCTGCATCCAGGTCTCGTCTTCCGGCTAAGCTCACAGACCAACTGCTCCCAGATCTGCGAGCTCAGGTCGGCGAGGAGCCGAAGGAAGCTTCTCTCGTGTGGCATTCTGTGCACACACATCGGCCGTCAGCAGGCCTCCCACCTGAATTGCGTTTCACTTCCTGGGATTCATCCCGTTTTGTCGACGCCGTTCCTGTCTTTCGCTGTAGATTATCCCGCCCGTGCTGCTGAATGAGTACGTCAGCAAGGATGGCGGGTGCGTTGTACGCCTTCACAACAGCACTGTTCGCCATGGCAGGCACAGATGCCGTCCGGCCGGGCGCCTTCGTGGCGCCGATAAGATTCTCTCCCCCGACAACGGCCATTGACAAGCGACGTGATGCAAGCGCCACCTCCCTTTTCGCTTTATTCCGACTGCCAGGCATCTTCATGCGGCCGTCGCTCTCGACGCTGGACCCCTTCAAACTCACGGCTCCAGCGATTGTCCAGCCGGGTCGGCTGGTCGGACACCAGGCTGGCAAGCGGGGTAGCCGAAGGGTTCTCTCGTCTGCTGAGGCTGCAGAGATTGCCACGGTGAGTGGGCATGCCCACAAAGGGAAGAGGATGTATCTGTCACTGTGCACGTACGTGTGTGTTCAGGATGACGAGAGCACCATAACGGTGCCCGACGGCGGCGAGCAAAACGACAAGTTCTCCCTCTCCGGCGTCTCTTCACTTTCAGCCGTTCAGCCCTCCTCGCCCTGCTGTCGGCAAATGAGCACGAGAATGCAGCCACAAAGCTGGCCATGAGTCACACACAGTATTTCGTGTGTGCTGTGGTGTGGTGTGGTGTGGTGTGGTGTGGTCTGCAGCCTTGCCTTCCGGCCCGTTTCCCAATCCTCAGTATGACCTGCTGCAGTGCGGCCTGCGCAACAAGGGATGGGTATGTGACCCTGACGGTGTGCTGCCGAGTGTCTATGACCGAGAGATGATTCAGAGGATTCTCAACGACATCCGCGACAATTGTAGACTGACCTGCCCTGACGGAGAGGAAAGGGGCTTCCAAGTCAGCGTGGCACTGGTCCGAAAGATGCTGCTGCGCGAAGGGGAAAACAAATACAGTCTCGCGGCGAAGTAAGTGTGTCGATGCTGTCCATGGTGCATTCGGCTGGTTGTTTCCTTGGCCGTATGTCTGTCTGTAGGTGGGCGACATCGATTGGCAACCAGTGGGGCGTAGGCGACAAGGGGTGCGGCAACGGGGTGATCTTCTTTCTGAGCCGAGACGACCGAGTGGTGCATATCCAAGCGGCAAAGCAGGCGAAACTGCGAGTGAGCAACCGGGACCTGACCACGATCATCGATGCGATGAAGTGAGAGTCAGTGATCTGAGTGAGATAGAGGAGCAGCTGAAGGGACAATGATTGGCTCTCTTGGCGCATGGATGGATGAATGCAGGCCTGCCCTGAGACGAGAGGACTACAGCGGTGCCATACGGAAGGGCCTCACCCTGCTGGAGGCCAAGCTGAAGGACCCCTCGTCCAAGTCTGCGATCGCCGTGAGTGTTCAGATCAGCGATGAGGCACTGCCAGCCCTTCTAATTGCCGCCATTATCCTCACCCTCATCATGTGAGGACAAAAGATACAGAAACGTCACCCACAGGGATCTGCATGTCTGCCCTTTACATGGATGGATGCAGGTGGATCATTTGGTATGCGAACAGCGGCAAGCCAGAGCAACCGAAGAGCCCAAGGCGCCGATCCACCAGCTACTCCAGCTATACCCCGAGCTATGACCCCAGCTACTATCGCATACAGGGGCGCACCGACAGCCTGCGGCAGGCACTGCCGCACCGAGAGCAACACAAGGAGGCTTCTCAGTACAATGACGCCGCTTCACGGGGCATTGATGAGCACTCCTACTCTGGCAGCGGCTTCCATCGCGGCCCAAAGCCGCCCGACGACACAGCTGAACCGAAGGAGCCGAAAAAGACGGCGACCCGCAGCAGACGCAGCTACACAAGCTATAGCTATGGCTCCACCTACTCTGGAGGCGACTATAATGGTGGTGGTGGCTATTCTGGTGGCATCAGCTCATCGGGAGGCAGGACCTACTCTGGCAAAGCAAAACGAGATCCAACGGTGCAAGGAGATCATAGCCGAGCAGGAACAAATCGAGGCCTTGAAAGCCGCCAAGAACCGACTCGCCGCGATGATTCTGATCCCGGCACGAGCTCATCGGGCGGCTTTGGAGGGGGCTGGTTCAAGGGCGGGAGAGGCGTCAGCCGCGGATGGTAGGCAGGCACAAATGCATTCATGCAGTAATGTTCATTCGGTTGTGATGTGCTCGTGCAGGGGCGATTCTGATGACAGGGGTGGCGGCACAAGCTCATCGGGGAGCTTTGGAGGGGGCTCCGTCGATGACGGGGGAGGGGCCAGTGGCGGCTGGTAGGCGGTCAATCGAGCAGGCGACGAGACGTGGCGTCCTGTCCGGTACGCATTCATCGCCGTGCAAACTGCAGGATCCGACGTGGCCGGGTGCTGTATGTCTCTCTGTCTGTCTGTCTAATCCGGTGCCTCTCCATCTGTCTGTCTTCCGTTTGTCTGTCATCTGTCGGTGTGTTGTATACTACATAGTGTGAGCAGGAGGGTCGAAAGACAGGGCAGCCAGGGCTTTCAGTAGTGAGTGAGGCAGAGGACTGACTACAGCGTTGTAGAATAGAATACAGTCCTTCTTATTCGGAAGGCTTTCCTTTCTGCCCTACTCTTCTGTTTGGGGGCTGGTTTGTGTCTTGCTGTTCATGTTGCCCAGACGTGGACAGAGACGAAGGGACGGAGACGATATCAGGCAAAACAAGGCAATTTGATTTGTACATCCGTTTGATGGATAGATAGTACACCAACACTGTACACAAGACACGTCCACACATAGGTACATCCATCCATCCCATCCCACCTCACGCGATATCGAGCTATCCCATGGCTCTCTGGCCCATGTAGGCCACCTGCCACACCTCCACCACATCCCACCCACCGCACACAGTGTGAAAGCCCCCCTCGACCCTTGCTGGGCCGCTCATGAGGGGCCTCTCTGCCTCCTTGCTAGTGAGGATCCGTGCGCCATGGTGAAATGGCGATGCCAGCTCGACCCAAAGAGCGTGGCTGATATCCACCCCTGCCATGATACAAAGAGACAACAGTCGGCTGCCAGCGGCTACAGCAGATGTGTCCCCTGTCTTCTTTGCGACGGTGTCGGGGTGGTGTGCGTCGGTCAGCTTGAAGAGAAAAGGAATCGGCTCCTGTGAAGAGCGCTCGTAACAACTACATTCACACACACACACACACACGCACACACAACGTCATCCATACGCCCTGACGGGGATCAAGAGAGAGCAAGCAAATGACATTTGCTCACGCCACAAACAGAACGATAGCGTCCAGACTTACTCGATGCGAGGGCCATTCGGAGACGCCGCACGGAGCCATTCCGTGTCTGTCTTTAACCCCTTGGGGCTGGCTCCACCCACCACCTGCTCACCCTTCTTCAACAGCAACACCTGCACATCCAGACACAGCGATGCACCGTGTGTCAACTGTGGCCATTGCCGTCGTCTGCCGTACTCACCCAGCCCTTCTCCGCCTCGGGTGCTGGGATGCTCGCCAGGAAGGCAGCGCGATCGTACGCAGCTGCCAACGAACAACTGAGGAACAAAGACATCCATGTTGCCAGCTTACTTCCTCTGACCCACATATACTCTTGCGGACGTGAATGTGCACTGTATGTCCTCTACAGGTTTGTTCCATTCCTCCTCCAGCCAGCCCACAAGCCGATTCAGCTCCGCCCGCCCCGCTAACAGCCCTTTCCCCGGCCCTCCCATCGACGGTGCGATGCGCTGCACACAGTGCGCATGAGAACCGACTAGGCCGAACATCTCGAGTGTCCGGCGCAGCTCCAGTGTGTCGTTAGCCGATGACTGCTGTGAGGGAGTGATTGGGAGGGATTGAGAGGGGGCAATACGGTGTCGGCGGGCGAAGTTGATGGCCTTGCGTACGAGCCCAGGGGATGTGGCGTCCAACGAGGCCCTGAGGGAGAGCAAACAAGCGCTCACACGTGTGTTCCCGCTACAATGTGTCTTGTGCGTGCCCACCCGTTGAAGCGATTTGCGAACGGCGAGTCGCCCCCGCCACACGCCTCTACAGTGGCCGTGGTCGTGCTAAGAGTCATCCCCATCACACTCACACTCACCACCCCGACCCCGCCCCCCGTCGACGGCTGCAGCCAGGGCTCGGCCAGCTTCATGCGATCCTCTAGCTGCCGCATGACACGCTTGACGGCATCGATCTGTGCGTCAACGGCCGCATGCTTCTTCATGTATCCCACACACACCGACTTGATGCTGTCCATGAGTGCCGCGCTTGACGGCATGGCCTCCTGAACTCCGGTGGTGTGAGGCATGGCTGGTGCGTCCATGTGTGGGGGAGGGGGGCCGGGGGAGGTGGTGACGGTGGGGAGGGGCTTGCTGACCAGCACGTCGAAGAAGAAGGCCTCGTCAGGGTCAGCAGTGCCCTGCGCCTGACTCGCGCTGCTGCTGCCGTCGGATGTAGCCAGCGTGTGGATGATCTTCTCGAAGATGCTTCCGTCGAGGTCCATGAAGATGCAATGGGATCCGTCGGTGCACCGAACCAGTCGCCCATCGAGGTGGCCGCTGAAGATGAACGCCAGCAGACTGTCGGCCTTCTTGGTCAGCAAACCGCGAGGAACCTTGAAAAGGGTTCCGCCCGCCGACAGAGGGAGCATCTCGTTGGCGTCACCAGCGGCATCCTCCTGCCAGCTGATCTCGCTCAGCAGCCGCTGCTGGTCTTTCTGCAGCTCCTCGAGGGTCTGTCGCTTGAATGCGAGGGCTCGTCCGGCGTCATCGAAGCTGGAAGCGACAGAGTGGAGAGCATCTGTGACAAAGGCTGGCCGAGTGGACCGAAAGGGAAGCTGATCATCGCTGTCGCCGTCAGGCGCCCCCTTGCGCTTCTTAAACCCCGACATCATCTCTAATTCGCCGGCAGCCGGTTTCAAAAAACTGCGAGCTGGAAAGGGCGTCCATTTTTTCCATCAAATGCCGTAGATGTTGCATCAGACGAGGCCCACCTTGCTGCGGAACCTCTGTATGGTCACGGCAGAAGCGGCAGACGTCATTCGATCGCAAGAGATGCCGCCTATTGTGCCATGAGAGCCTTGGAGGGCCTTGATCACTGACGGCGGCCAACACAATGGATGCAGACGAGGTGAGGAAGATGAAAGCAGGCGTCAAAACACACGCAGCGCCTTTCACCTTTCGGCTGCTTTGCGTGTTGCTCGGGTGTTTGATGCAGCAGCGGCAGCTTCGGGAGGACGCTCAGTCGGCGAGGGAGAGCCTGCAACAGCTCATGCAACTTCAGACAAAGGATTTCGGCCAAACACAGCAGCCACACATGGTCTCACTCGCTCACCGCTGCCACTGCTTCCTCTCTCTCAGGTTGATGAACACCTCACGCAGATCAAGCAGCGGACGGAGTTTGCGAATCATAGCACAGTGGTATCAAGCATCACCTTCGGCTCACGTTCTCTCTCTTCTGATGAATGTTCTGTGCTGCTCTCTGGTTGTCCATGCAGGCGTCAACTCGCGAGTTGCGTGTCCAGCTGTCCCTCCTGACAGCCCAGTTCAATGCTGCCGCCACCCAGCTGTCGACATTGGAGCCTCTGCTAGCCACTGCAGCGGAGAGCCTCATGCCGACGACAGCTGAGCCGCCAGCCGAGGAGGCACCAGTAGACACCGTAGACGAGCAGCCACAGGTACACCTTCATGAGCACAGAGACCTCCATGCTGCAGAGAGGATTCCTGCACGTGGTCTGTGCGACGTGTTTGCTTCCATTGTGTGGTTCAGGCTGCTATTGCTGAGAAGTCTTATCGTTTGATCTACCAGAGTGGCCGCCCGCCCATCACTGATAGACCGGTGAGTGATGACACACACGAGCATCCCCTTTCCACCAGTCACACGTGTGGCATATGTATCGGCCTTAGGCTCGCCTCCGTCTGTCCCGCGATGAGCTCTCCAAAATGTTCGGCCACCTGCAGCCATGGGAGCTGGCGCGCCACCGCCGGCCCCTTGGCACGCCCCTCTTCCATCAGTCGGTGGCCAACTACACCAAACTGGTCATCGACTGTGAGGACAACACGGCGCGGCGCATGTGGGCGGCCATGCCGCTGGCCGTGGCACACAGATGGGGCAAGAGGGCGACCAACGTGCGAGAGATCAAGCACCGCTACCCCAAGTGGCGAGAGGGCTGGTGTCGCGGGACGTGGGTGGCCGTGGTGGAGGGTCACGCCATCGGCAGGGCGGCCATTTGGGAGAAGAAGGTACGACAGAGGGAGGGGACAGCTGGTGATGATGGCGACGGGCAGCCGGCGCATGAGGGCACATTGGAGGTGCTGTCATTCGAGGCCGTCGAGCTCGGTGCCAGCATTGACATCCCCCGCCCTCCCCCCTCATCTGATCTGCCCCCCGCCCCCGACGGCCTCATCCACCTGCCCGCACTCACGACGGTAGACAACATCCCGGGCGAGTGCATGGCTGCTCGCGTAGGCCGCCAGTGGCGGACGCCCGCCATCAAGACGCTCGTCACCCGCGGCCGTTTCGGTGCTGCGTCAGAGGTGCAGGGCGGGAGGGCATGGCTGGCGGACTGCGGGGCCATTGTTGAAGTGCTGGACCTCGAAGCAATCTCGCAGCCCGACGGTGCGGCCAGTGTGCTGAGTGCGCTGCCCGCCGACGGGCAGTCGCTCGCAGCGCTTCGCACACTGCGATGCCTCCCGCTGAGGAGCAGCCCCGCCGGCATCGACCGGCTGCGTGAGGTGATGGTGGCGAGGGGCGCCCGGCGGTCCATTCGCGAGCTCGAGATATACCTAGGCGAGTATCTGCTGGGGGATACAGACGATTGGGAGATACTGCTGCAGAAGGCCGCACAACTCGTGTAAGTGAACACATGAAAGGGATGAAGGGGTCAAGTACAGGTGACGCACACTGATGTGCTCGTCTTTTGTGCTTCTCTGCAGTGCCGCCGTCTCACATCGTGAGGCGTTGTCGCAGCCCATTGTGCGTCAGGGGGGAAGTGGCGATCGAGAGATCGCCGCCGAGACCCTCTCGCGCACCAGCAGCAGTACCCCCACCCTCCAGAGGATCGTCCACGATTTCGCCAAGACAGCCGACATCGTGGTGTACGGAGGCGACGAGGCGCATCGTGTGGCCATCACCAACGACACATTCCCCACCGCCATCAAACTGCGCCTGACAAGGGATGCCCTCGCCAACGAGGCCAAGCAGGAGCGCGCAATCGAGATCGCCTCCCACATGCCCAGCTTGTGGTGGATCGAGGCAGGAGACGCCGAGATCGAGGCGGTGCTAGACGCCCCCACTGGTGAGGTGTGGACGTTCCTCGAGCGGCTGCAGACGGTGCTGATCAGGGAGGGGAGAGAGAGATGCCTGGCGGTGGATCTGTGTCTGCCGGCAAACGCATTCGCTGACGACGACCAGAGCCCCTGCCTGTGAGGGCGGCGCACCAACGACAAGCTGCCGCCGATCGAGGAGTTGACGATCTACGTGTTCGGTGAGGGGGTGGGAGTCCATTAGAGAACCAGCAGGCACGGCGTCTTGTGTGTGTGGTGTCTGTGTTGCTTCATTATAGGCGGTGTAGAGGATGACGAGTTGGAGACCTTCTACCGGCACGTGATGGGCACGGTGGCCTCATTCAGCAACGAGCTCAAGGTGCGCCTCGCACCACACCACACACAGACAGCTGCGGGGCGATGTGTGTGTGCCCACTGTCCGGTTGGTTGGATGGACAGGGTCACAAGAGGACCGAAGTGTTCTTGTGGGACGAGGAGGTAGCGGCCGACTTCAAGCGGCGTTTCCTGGCTGAGCAGGCCGCCCTCAACTTCAGCGGTGGGCCGTACAAGGTCAGCCTCACTCGCGTGAACACGCTGGTAGTTGAGCGCCGCAAGTGACCATCTCTCAGATGAATGGCTCAGCATAGGTGAGGACACCGAACGACAAACGGGCGCGTCACCAAGGGTCTCCCTCCTCCCTGCGTGTGTTGTAGGATAGAGCAGCTGTCGCTGGGTGTGGAGGGATGTCGCATGAAGAAGCAACTGGTGGCGTGATGTACAGATGGCGGATAAACAGACAGACAGACAGACAGACAGGCAGCTCCCACCCACGGCTGCAACGCCATGCTGTACATGTGTAGACACCTTCTTGCTCGGCTCGACTCGGCTCGACTCGGCTCGAGCATGTGTGTTTGCGTTGGTGACCTGCTTATGGCTGGCTGACTGCGGTTCAATGTGTCTCTCTGCCACACAAACATCCTATACCTTACAAAGTACTCCACACACACTACACACACACCTGCTTGAGTTTCTATCCATCCATCCGTCCATCCATCCATAGCTGCACAGCACAGATGTGTGTAAGCGTTTGGGAGTGGACGGGACCTGTCGGGGGAATTTGGATGTCTCACCTTTGTTGAGGTGCATACCCGTCACTCGTCGGATGTGTCGCACACAGTAACTGTGCTCATTCACACATGAGCTGAATGGGCTTCAAGATGTCCGTCCACTGACCAAAGAGAAGTAATAGCTACATGACTCACTGGGTCATCCACCAGACAGACACCCCACCCACACTATGGGAGAGATTCATTCAACCAAACACCATTCATTGATATCTGCCTGACAGGGAGGCCAAGCCAGGGCAGTTAAGGCGAGAGCAGGCAACTATCTACAGTTGCTACATATCGACAGGGCTGTCACTGGCTGCCGCACTACGAACAAAGCCACACACGAACCCCCCGCTAATCCATTCATCAGTGGAATGTGTTGCCGCCCCGGATGGATTTGCTGCCGTTGCCAACATAGTAGAGGTCGATGCAGCACACGGGGGCATACCCAGAGCTGCCAGCTATCAAAGTCAGCTTGCCCTTAAGGCATTTGTGGGCCACGTCAGCATACAGCGCCTTGACGCACTTGTCCTTCTCCTCGGACAGCTTGTAGCCGTCCACGCACGAGTACTTGATGTCCACAAACGTCTTGGCATAGCACTTGCTGCTGTCCTTGGTCAGTTGATAGCCGTCAGGGCACTCATAGTCGACGAGGAAGGCTTCTTCGACGACACACTTGTGGTCGCCCTCCAGATTGCCGTGTGTGCAGTAGGGTGCCTTGGCCTCATAAATGGTCGACTTGCACCCCTTGTGCGTCAGCACCGAGTGCTGAATCGCAGACACAGACACGCAACAGAACAGATGGGTAACGTAACTGCCACATGCATTCTGTCTGCAAGTGTGCATCCGCTGATCTGTCCTGTCCGCTCACCTTTGGGCAGTAGTACTTCAGGTCGGCGTATTCGTATCTGACGCATTTGCTGTCGTGTCTGCTCCACTTGTAGCCGTGGGGGCACTCGCGCAGCTTGGCGACGTACTTGTCCACGTAGCACTTGCTCTGGTCGTCAGTGAAGGCGAAGCCACGGGGGCACTTGTATCGCGCGTCATGGTAGCTCTCGAGGACGCACTTGTGGCGTCGGAACGAGTAGCCCTGCTTGCACTTGGGGTAATAGGAGTGGTAGCTGTGTTTGATGACCACACACTTGCCGCCCTCCAGGTAGCCCTGGTGGCAGTAGGGGACCTTCGCCTCGTATGTGGTCACCTTGCAGCCCTTGGCCGTCGCATACGAATGCTGACAGACACACACAGAAGGCAATGCACACCTCTGTTTGCTCAATGTCGTGTGTGTGGTGTGATGACTCACCTTCGGACAGTAGTACTTGAGATCGGCATAGATGTGCTTGATGCAGTTCTTCTTGTCCTTGGTCAGCTCATAGCCACCGGGGCACTTGTGGAGCTTGGCCGTGTACTTGTCGGCGAAGCACTTGCTCTTGTCATGAGTAAACGAGTAGCCGTCTTTGCACTGGTATTCGGCGTCAGTGTACTTGCGATGGATGCACTTGTGGCCCTCGAGCTTGCCGTGTTCGCAGTAGGGCGTCTTCTTCTGATACACATACTTAACGCAGCCATCGGCAGTCTCTTTGGTGCCCTGCACACGCAACACACAGACACACACGAGGGAAACCAATTCACATTCATGTCAGCTTGTACTTTTCCCTTGTGCGTTTAACCCACCTTTGGGCAGTAGGTATAGGGCTCCATGTGGTCGTGTTTGATGCACTTGAGGCTCTCATCGTCATAAGTGTAGCCGCGAGGGCACTCGTAATGGACATTCTCTTTCTTGTGACACACACCATGCTGCTGCTGATAGCCGTCAGGGGTCTGCGAGGCGGCCGGGGTCGGACACGACAGTAGAATGGCCGATGCGCAGAGGACGATTGCAGCCTTCATTATTGCCAGAGGGGGCTGTTGGTTGACGAGCGGTCAGCAGGCGAAGAGATGCAGTAGGCGGAGGGCGGCAAAGAAGATGGCGATGATCTGGTAGTTCCTTGGGAGAGGGAAGTGTTTGCTTTGCTGTGGCTGGCTGAGTTGGTTTAGGGATGGATGGTCTCCCGCTGCCCTCCTTTCAGCCTGCCGTGTCCTTTAGCCGAGCGAAGGAGGTGAGCCGTACAGGAGAGATACCAAGGAAGCGAGAGATCCAAAGAGCTCTCTCTATCATCACCCCGCGCCCTCTCTGATGGTGTTGTACGTGTCAAGGGCGGCGCTTCAGGGCCGCTGCGGACACCGCACAGGCTGAAAGATGGGATCTGCCTGAATCTGACACACCACACACCGACACGTACAGATCAATGCTTCAACGCTTCGTCACTGGTTTGCGCTCCTTTCACCTGCATGACGCCATTGGGATGTGCACGCGCCTCATTCAGCACTAAACCTTTGTCGTTTCCCTGGGACCGGACTGCGAGCTAAGCTCGCAGCTTCCCAGAGAAGCGAAGAGCCGGGAAAGGCGGGAAAGGCGATGGATCCGCAGCTGGTGGATCCGCAGCTGGTGGTTCCGGACATGGTGATAGTCCGCGGCCGAAACTACCGCCCTCAGGACATCGAGGAGGCAGTGGAGGGATGCCACGAGGCCGTCAGGCCAGGGTGCTGCGCCGCCTTCTCGACCGACGCCAACGGCGGCACCACCACAACAGCAGCGGCAGCGGGCGAGTGCCAGGGTGAGCTCCTCGTGGTGGTCGCCGAGGTCAGAAACGCCGAGGCGTCGTGGTACAGGCGGCTCTTCCATCACCATCTGCCGCGGTGGAAGAAGGACGAGTACACGGCCATCTGTCAGGCCATCTGCCGGACGGTTCAGACGCAGGTGGGCCTGCTGGTCGCCAGGGTGATCCTTCTCGCCCCACGGACCATCCCCAAGACAACAAGCGGCTTTATCACGCGGAAGCGCATCAAGGCTGAGCTCACTGACGGCCAACTCAAGGGCATCGTGTTCCAATACCAGAACGACCACTCTGCGAGCGGCTCCATGCAGCAGCAGCCGCACCCCGCCAGTGGAGGGGATGATGGAGGAGTCTGTGACACACACGAGGCGTCCGCCCCGTCGGTGCCCACTGACGGAGGTGAGGTGGCCAGCGTCAACGTCAACCAGCCACACTGAGGACCGGGCCGCCTCCACATATCCCTGCCGTCGACCAGACTGGCCAGCGAGTCGGCAGCGACGGATGACAGTGCGCCGGACACGCCAGAACCCACTGAGAAGGGCGAGTGCGTCACGGCTTTGCAACAAATCAGCCGCGCGTCTCAGCGAGATGGATGGATTGATTGACTCTCATTGATTGATTCATTGATGCATCGGTGAATGGATGAATTACTTTGATGCTTGTCTGATACTTGGTGACGCTCATTTTATGCATTCCTCTTCGTGCCATCATTCATTCTGTCCACTCTCACCAAGGCGAAAACGAAACAGACACACACAACGCGCATCAAAACACTCATGGACAAACCGCCGCTGCCGCATCTCGCATTTTGGACACAACCCCACGCTTTGAACCCCAAACCCTGAGCCCTAAACCCTACCCTAAACCCACTTCCCGAAAGGAGGCGTGTCAAGCAGAAGCGGTGGCGGCAAGGGTGGCAAGGGAGGAAAAAGCGGCAAAGGCGGGAAAGCGGAAAAGGCGGTAAGGGAATGTTTGGCAATGGATCCATGCACAGTATATAAGTGCATCTGCCGTGAATCGAACACGGGTCACGCCGATGGCAACGGCGTATTCTACCACTAGACCACAGATGCTTATGGAGGGAAGGAAGTCGACTTTACCACGTTCACTGCCTTTTCGCAATCTGCCTAGGGCGGAGGGGACTGATCGCGGGCAGCGGCATGGGTCGCTTCTGCGTCTTTTTGACGCATGTGCGGTGTCTGTGCACTGTCTGTACATGATGTTGATTGATCACCCATCACCACGCACATACGCAGTCTCATCGTCAAAATCCATCACAGCAATCACACAACAACAAGACACGGCACAAACGCACAAGTGTATGAGTGCATGCAGTAAGTAACGATGCGATCATCATGTTCGGCCAATTGCAAATCATTTCAAAAAACCCCATCAGCCTCTCCTGGCCGGCGAGAAAGCGCTTCGTTCGCAGACAACGCTCATTGGTACGTCAACAGACAGTCACCGCCCATTCTTGCATCATCTATCACCCCATCAGGAGCCTCTGTGGATCGTTCTCCATTAAATGGGCCAGGTCCTGCGTGTCAGTCAGTCAACAACACACAGGCAGGCAGGCAGGCAGGCAGGCAGAGAAATAAGTGCGTATTAGTCGGCCCGTCAATCGGTTGTTCGGTGAGTGTGCTGTCTGTCTGTCACCTGTAGGAATGCGGCTGCATCTGCGCCATAGATGTGCCTGTGGTCGCATGTGAGCGTCACTGTCATCTCCTTCTGCACCCCGATGAAGCCATTACCCTGCCAACAACCAAACCAAACCAAACCAACACAACACACATTCATTCACACCGACAGAGATGGTACACGATGCGGGTCGTGTCCGCACACTCACCTGCACAGTGACCCTTGGTATTGCGGCGCCGACACCCATGATGGCGCCCACACCCGGGGGCAAAATGGGGTCCATCTGATCATCACGACACGCGAACCAACATCAGGACATAGACAGCCACTGGTGCGGCAGAGCTTGCGAGTGCAGCGCACCCACCTGGTTGACGCCCATCATGCCCAGGTTTGAGATGTAGAAGGTGCCGGTGCTCATCTCTGCCGCACCGAGCTTCTTGTCGCGGGCCTTGTTGACCAACTCCTGCAGCACACACAGACAAGCATCACAAATTGGGTCGTCCTGATTGGATGTATGTCTGCGTGTCTCGTGTGTCACCTTCCAGTCTCTTGACAGCTGGAATATGTCGACCGCGTTGGCCTGCTTGAGCACGGGGGTGAGGAGGCCGCCATCGAGAGCCACAGCCATCGCCACATTCACCTCACCAGGATGCCTGCAAGTGTGCACCAACAAAAGAGATTCCTGCGTACCTTTCTCGCCTTTTCGTGTGTGTCTCTGTGGTTGGTGCGGCCCACCTGATGCTGCCGCCATTGGCAACGTCATATGCGGCGTTCAAGATGGGATGCTGCACACGAAATACGTGTGTATTGATGTAATGTGTGTGTGGATGTGTGTTGACTTCCTTCCTCACCTTCTCGAGTGTGAGGGCGACAGCCTTGGCGAGCAATGCAGACACCGTCACGCCCTTCTCCTTCACATCCTGGACCAGACACACACACGCGCAACGCGCAGAGACAGACAGACATGTATTTATCTCTTGTCTGCTGCAGCCGTCATCAGTCACGTCACCTTGTACAGCTGATCGAAGGCATCCGTGACGATCGCCCTCGACACCCGGAAGACCGGCACAGACACCGTCGCCTCCATGTTGCGCGCCACGGCCTTCTGCATGCCATCCATGGCCGCCAAACCAGCCGCCATCGGCTTCACGGGAGCCGTCTCCTTGGCTGCTGATGGCCTGCCGGCTGGTGCTGGTGGTGCTGGTTTGGAGGGGGGCGCTGCTGGCCTTGGCTCCTCCTTCTCCACTGGCATGCCGAGAGCCCTCCTGACGTCGTCGCCAGTCACTCTGCCGAAGTTGCCCGTGCCTCTGACGCTCGACAGATCGACGCCCTTCTCCTTGGCCAGCCGCCGTGCCATCGGTGTGGCCGCCACCACACCCTCAGCGGGCGTCCATACTGCCTTTTTCTGCTGGTAGTACTCATCCTTGCCCCAGTGCTCACGCTTCCCCGATGCCGCCTCAGCGATGTCTTGCGGGAGGATCCTGCCGCCCGGACCTGAGCCGCTGACCGTCGACAGGTCGATGCCGGCCTTGTCGGCCAGATCCCGGACGTGGGGGCTCTCGCGGAAGAGACTGCCCGAAATGGCCTGATCTGGTGGCACCAGTGCCCCCAGTGGCGGCGCCCTGATCTTGACCCGCTCCAGCATCAGCTGCAGCTCCTTCTGGCCCCTGGGGGTCGAGTCAAGGTCCTCCAGGAAGGCCCGGCCCTGCGCCGTTGACCTGAGCTGGTCGAGATAGACCGCCGCCACCGTGTCGGGGTCATACCCTGGGGGCAGCTGCGCCCTCACATCCTGGTCGAGAGACGTTGGTGGCACAAAGCCGTTGGCGTACTTGCCCGTGTCGACTGCTGCGAAAGAGATGACGGGGCGGGAGGGGGCGGGGAGGCCGGCCGCTGCGGCTGCTGTTGCTGCGGCTGCCGCGGGCGCAGCAGGGGGTGGGACGGCCGGCTGTGCACCGGTCCTGGGAGCGGCTGTGACTTTGTCGATGTCTTCTGGCGACTGGACAAGCAGTGCCACTGGGTCACCCACATTGGCCACATCGCCCGCGTCGACCAGCACCTTGGCAATATACCCCTGAACGACCAAACGACACACAACGAATGACATCAACGAACGAAATATTCCAGGAATGCCTGGCCGTGACATGTTATTGGCCCCCCGACCTCTTCAAAGCTCTCGACTTCCATGTCGGCCTTGTCCGACTCGACCACCATGACCATCTCGCCCACATTCACCTTGTCACCCACCTTTTTGAGCCACTGCGTCACCTTGCCCTCCGTCATGGTGCTGCTCAAGGCTGGCATGAACAAATCAGTGGTCGGCACCGAGGGGGCGAGCACCACAGGGGCCGCCTGCACAGGGGTGGCGGGCGCTGCGGGCGACTCGGACCGGTCATACACGGCCGTCGTGCCGTCGTGTCGGCTGCCGGAGCCTGATGCGATGGCCTGCACGCCGGCTGAACGGACGACGTCGATCTTCTCTTGTGTGTCGGCGATGAGAGCACAGGTCTCGCCCACGCGAGCCGTCGAGCCCTCAGGCACCAGGATCTTCGCAAGGTATCCCTGAATCCATCGATCATCAATCATCACAGAAATCACGTCAATCCTCTCATGTGCGTGGTGCCACACCCCCCCAACCTCTTCAAAGCTTTCGACGTCCATGTCGGCCTTGTCCGACTCGACCACCATCACCACGTCGCCCACCTCCACCCGATCGCCCTCCCCTTTGAGCCACTTGGCCACCTTCCCCTCAGTCATCGTGCTGCTCAACGCTGGCATGAAGACCTCTCGCGCGCCGATCTGTGCGATGGCGGCCTCGTCCATGAAGGTCTCGGGCACACCGGCGCTGTCCGATGGGGCGGTGGGCGATGGGGGGATCCGGACGGTCGTGGTGCCGTCGTGCCGGTTGGCATCGCCAGATGGGATGGAGCCGAGCCCGCCTGCCACGGCCGCGATGTCGTCCTTGGATTCGGCTATGAGGCCGACCGTCTCGCCCACATTGGCCGTCCCGCCCGCATCCACGAGCTTCTTTGCAAGATAACCCTGGCAAACACAAGAAGAAGGAGAAGATCTCGATCTGCAGCTGCACTCACTATGTTATGTGTGTCATGAGGTGCTGACCTCTGAGAAGCTCTCGACTTCCATGTCGGCTTTGTCCGACTCGACCACCATGACGATGTCCCCCTTGGCGATGAAATCACCCTCCTCCTTGGTCCACTGCACGATCTTGCCCTCATTCATCGTGCTGCTCAGGGCCGGCATGAATATGTCGTGCGCAACGACAGTCGCCGTCGATGCGCCCTGCATGGACACCCACCGCACTCTTCCGCTGCGATGGACGCTGCCGCGGGCCATTGGTGCCCTCGCAGTGAGCCCGGCGGGAGTGTGCAGCCGAAATGATGATGCATATGGGCAGAGCGTGGCCAGGAGAGCCACGAGAAGATGCCCCGCCCTCATCATCAGGGAGATCTGGAACCACCGGCGTGTGCGAGCTCTATAGCTCGCAGTGAGGAGGAATCCGTTTCCTCCATACGTGAAGGCTGCAAGAAGGAACTGTCCCAGGTGGGTCACAATGCCAGGCTGTCTGTGCCTGCAAATCGATCAGCACTCTGCTGGTTTGGTGTTTTCTCCACCTTTTCGCCCACAGGAGTTGCATACCGAACCGAAGCATCAGGGGAGATTCAAGGTTGACAGGCGAAAGGTGAAGCCTCAGGGCATTCAGGGTGTGGGCGAAAGAAGGGGAAAAACCCTGTGAATGCCCTGCAGAGAGCCTTCTGAGGGGCGTCAAGGCATGGGAACGCCCAATGGCTGTGTCCTTGTCTCTGTCTGCAGATCTGAGCACCAATACCGAAGACCATCATCTCCCTGACGGCTCTTCCTGGCGCTTATCCCTGTGACTCACGTAAGGAAGTTGCCTTTGCACCCACCGAACTCTTGTGACCTAGGTGACTTTTTTCTTTCGGTAGGCCTACGTCACCCGCCGTACATTGGACCCAGCATCCTTACCGCGGCAGCGGCTGGAGGAGGCAGCGGTGGTCGAGCAGGACGACGGCCTCTCCCTCGGCCATCCCCCCGAGCCCATGTCCAGTGGGCTGCTTTGCTGCCTCGGATGCCTCACAGTCACGGGATGCCGAAACCGCATCATCCGACGCCTCGCATACTTCCCCCCCAGGCCGGAGGGCTATGCAGTGGAGAAGGACGGCGACGATGACGTCGTGTACCTGGTGCATGGGGTCAACCGCATTGACATACGGGGTCTGTCGCTGTCGGACGCGCCCAAGGTGCAGCTGCACCACGTGTGGCTGGGCAAGGGGCGGCACAGGATACCGGCCTTCCTCTTCAGGCACACGCAGAGGGACATCCAGAACACGCCGCTCATCATCTTCTCGCACGGCAATTCGACTGATATCGGCTTCATGACGGTGAGGACAGGGACACACACAAGGGGGAGAGGGAGGGAGAGAGAGAGAGAGGCGCCATGTATCTCTGTGTGTGTGTACTTTGCTGTGTGCTGTGTGTTGACTGACGTCAGCCCAACTTGTTCAATTTGTCCAAGAACGTCAAGGCCAACATCCTGGCGTACGAGTACAGCGGGTACGGCCTCTCTGCCGCGCCTCTCCCATCCGAGAAGTCCACTTACAGGGACATCCGGCTCGCATACCGCTACGCCACCGAGGACCTCAGCGTGGCGCCCTCCCTGATCATCCTCTACGGCCAGTCGGTTGGCTCCGGCCCCTCATGCGACCTTGCTGCCGACCCCAAGTGCCCCGTGGCCGGCCTCATTCTGCACTCGGCCATTGCCAGCGGGCTGCGCATCTTTCGCCCGCTCAAGCGCGGCCCCTGGTTCGACCTCTACCGCAATGTGGAGAAGCTCAAGCGGATCCGGTGCAACGTGCTGGTCATCCACGGCACCTGTGACAGGGAGGTGCCCTTCCACCACGGCCGACTGCTGCACGAGGCCGCGGGTAGCAAGTCCATCAGGCCATGGTGGGTGCCCAACGCAGAGCACAACGACATCGAGGTCAGGTTCCGGCGCGAGTACGCCAGGCGGGTCCTCGACTTCGTCTCGTTCTGCCTGCGCATGCCCCGCCCCCCGCCGTCCCTCTCCCTCTCCATCGGCACAGACGCCCTCTCTGTCAGCTCGGCGCCCTCGGGCCCCCCCGGGCCGCCCTCAGAAGTGACGCAGAGGGACCCGCCCTCGCCGGTCATCGAGTCGCCCGTGACGGGTGCGCATGACCCGCCCGAGTCGATCCACACGCACCTGGCGCTGACGGTGCATTCGGTGACGGAGGGAGGGGACGGAGGGGACATGCCGCGGTCGGACGTGCCGGCAGATGACGGTGAGGTGTCTTTCTCGGTGTCTGGGGTGCTGCCGCCGGGTGGGCCGCCGTCAGAGGGCACACGGTTCCCCGCCGACGCTTATGGAGAGGTGGAGCTGAGCTCGGCGCACGTGGCTCTGCCTGTTTACGCCCATTCCAACAGCTATGAGGACGGGGGCAGCGGGAGCGCCCTGGTGGCTGTGGGCGAGAGGGCTGCCGTCGCGTCGACCAGCGGCCGGTCGCCAACCTCTATGCGCGTCAACCTCCCCTCGGTGCCGGCATCTGTCGACGCCCTGTCGGCTATCAGTGTGCAGACGAGCAACATCGCCACGGACGCATACGACGCCGCATCGACGGGCGCCACCATTCCCCCCAACGAGCCCTCCGCCATTGACCTGGGCATGGGGATGCACGCCCGCATCACCGATGTCGGTGTGGGCGGCCCTTCCCACCGCGCACAGGCAGCTGCAGCAGCAACAGCTACTGCAGCTACTGCAGCTGCATCGGCGTCAGCGGACGATGACCACGAACATCGGGCGCATATGGCGTTACCTGGTGCGACGGTGTGTACGGGTGAGGAGGGGCTGCTGCTGAACGGTCGGGGTTCCGTTGGAGGAGGGGACAATGATGACGGTGTGCGGTCGTGCATATCTGAGGGGTGTGAGCATGACGCAACAGAGGTGGAGGGGGGGTAGGGGAGGGCGGGGAGGGCAAGGAGGGCGGGGAGGGCAAGGAGGGGAGGGGCATTGCTTACTGGCTGGGCGGGGTGTTGTTTTGGGGGCTTCTTTGACTTTGAGTTCCTTTTTTTGTAAAGGGGGGCTGTCGGGCTATCGTACCGTACCGTACCGTACCTGCTGGCTGGCTGCTGTCTCTCTCGCCCATTCCCTCCGTCCATGGACTCTCTTGGCTTGATTCGATTCCTTTCCCCCCGTCCCTCGTGGGCACACAATGTTTTGTCGGCTATTTGTGCAACTCCGGAATGACCTCCCTCCCTCTATGCTTGCTTGTTTCATACCTGGCGGTTTCACCCCTTTTGCTCGTGGCTCGCGTGCCCTCTCCCTCCTGCTGGGTGGTAGGTGATCGAGTTTGTCTTCGAGACGCTCGCGCAGCTGCCCTTCGTCGGGCGGGTGCGCAAACATCTGGTGGACGAGCGTGATCCCGATCGACTCACTGGGTGTGTGAGAGGAGAGGGCCCAGCTGTTGGTTGATTCGATTGCATGAGGCGTGCTGACTCTTACTTGGCACGGGTCGCGGTGAGTGAGTTTTCCTTCCACCCTCCCTCCCTCCTTGTCCGTAGTCAATGCACGCATTGCAATGCGCCGTTCGTTCTTTCCTTCTCTGTAGCTTCCCTTCCCGGCCTGAATGAGTGAATGAGAGCGAGAAAGACTGACGGGCGGCATTTAGGTGATGTTTTTGATATCACAGGATGGATGGGTGCCAGGTGACAGCTATGCCTGCGTGGCTCTGAGATCGATGTGTGAAGCCAGTGACTTGCATTGCGTGTAAGTACTTATTATGTGTGTCAACCAACCAGCCTCAAGGCACGCACCACCGCACCGTACATCACTATCGCAGCTCGCTAGTAGCTGCTAGTGCCAATATGCCAATGTCACAACAAAAAAAAGCTTAGATTCCCAACTACCAAATCGCCGCCCGCCCGCCCTATCCCCGATAATCAATCCATCCATCACTCGGCCACCGATTCCTCCGTGATGGTGTGGATGTCCTCATCTGTCATGGTCAGGGGGTGGGTGAAGCTGCAGGGGTCACGCAGGTGGCGGGAGTACTGGGCCGAGCGAGACCACAGGATCACACACTGAATGAACACACACACACACCCGAGCAGACAGACAGAATGGATAGAAAGATGCGCACACACATAGGTTACTTACCCCGGAAGCATCTCCCGTGGCGAGGATGTTCTCGCCGAATGACCACGCAGCACACGAGACGGAGGTGCTGTGGGCAGACAGCTGTCCAGTCCACGCACACACACCGATGAACAATGGCCATCCATCCCACCTTCCAGTCGCCCAGCCAGCCCCTTCCCTCCCTCATGTCACCCACTTACACTAGTGACGGTGCGGTGCCTCAGCAAGTCCACGATATACACTGTCCCGTCCGCACCACCACCGACTGCACAACACACACACACACGTGGCCATCCACCGCCCTCCCTCCCTCCCTCCCTCCCGTCATGTATCGCTCACCGCAGCAAGGCGCCCTGGCACAAAAGTCCCACCTGGCCCTGCCGTCCTCGGGAGTGTCGAGGGCCAGCCGCACGCGGCCAACCACGCCCGAGTAGGGGGCGGCCTGACGGACATCACGGGACGATCCCGATGATGGGCTGGCGCTGCTCATGCTACGCACATCGAGGGAGGAGGTCTGTGCTTCAAGGGGTTTGGCTGACGTCACAGAGAAGACGCGGACCTGTTGGTCGCGGCAGGGGGCGAGGACGGCAGGGCTGCTCACTGCAGTGCACAGACATACACCACACCCACAGGCAGGCAGGACACCCGATGGACCATCATTAATTACAGGGGTGGCACACGTGTGCCTGTCTTGCTGGCCTACGTGACGGCAGCCACGGCGTATAGGTGAATGACATCGGGACGGCGGCAGCGGACTCGCAGCACCGCTGCCCTCTTCCTGACGACGATGGTGATGGTGGCGGTGCTGGGGTGATGGTGACGTTGGCAACCTTAGTGAGGCTGACGTTTTGCAGAATTCTGGCGTCAGACACGGTGTGCAGCAGCACCACGTGTATGCGGCCCTTGGAGTTGCCGACGAACAGACAGCTCCCCGTGTGGTCGAACGTCATGGCCGTCACAGCACAGGATGTCTGCACCAGCAACAGAACATGACACACGGACGGATGCTGTCTGCTCGCGTCTATTAATCTCTCTACATGTGTGTGTGTGGGGGGGGGGAAGAGGGGAAGGGGGGGGCGGGGTGCACACCGCGTATCTGCAGATGGCGAGTCCAGTGCTGACGTTCACGAGCCGAACGAGGCCCCGCTCGTCACCGCACTGCAAGCAATATGCACAGAAACACCTTGTGTCTGTGTGTGTCTGTGTCCGTTGTCTGCCTGTGCCTACAGCGAGTATGTTCGAGTTGACTGGATGGAACCGCAAAACCCAAAACGGCTGGTGGATGGGATGACAACGCGACAGACAGATCGACAGAAAGAATGCAATGCGTGTGGTGTGTGCTGTGCCTTAGTTAGAGCATTCCTTCCTGCCCACCGCACCGCGTCGCCCTGGAGGATCCGGAGGCAGTGTCCTGACGACACCTTCCACACCCGGACGGTGTGGTCGTCGGAAGCCGTGGCTAGATACTCATTCTGGGCACTGAACTCGACGTCATAGACGCCTGCACATTGCACATTCAGATCAGACACCCATGACATGACATGACAGCCACACGTACGCAACCAACCAAGGCGCATCGCATCCATCCCATCTTACTGACCGCTGTCGTGTCCCTCCAGTCGGTGCAGCATACGGGGGTCGCGTAAGACGGTGCACAGACTCACACACCCATCCTAAGACACACGACACGGACACGGACACAGATGAGGGCCAAAGTCATGCTGGCTGCATCCAACCAACACAGGCATAGACAGACCATTATCCTACCTTGGAAGCAGCTGCGAGTAGGTCTGGGTTTTCCCTCGCGAATGCGACTGCCGTGATGGCGTCACTGTGCTCGTGGAAGATGTGGTGGATGCCGCCAACCAGGTAAAACGAAGACGAAGATGCACTCTGAGACACACACACACACACACATACACCCCAAGGTGTTTGGCCCTTGATTTCTCTGGTGTCATCTGCCATCTGCTCTCTGCTCTCTGCTCTATGTCACTCACCGTCTGCCCCTCCACCGAGTCGCTAGATGTCGAGGTGGATGTGGGGTCTCCAACCACACCAGACGATGGTGCGGCTACAGGTTCGCCCTCGACCTCGGACGGCGCCACATCCACCCACTCGGTATCGGCACTTATATCCCGATCTCTGCCGCCCTTCGCTGGACGCTGCAGACACTCGTCATGAGGCCGCCATCGATGGGAGGCTGATCACAGTGGCACAGTGGCCGCCACATTCGGGAGAGATCGCAGTGGCACAGTGGCCGGTGTGAGCTTGTACGTTCGAGAGCCGAGTGAACGGACCTACCTTGGATGAGCTGTTGCCTAAGGATGCTATAGGCACTCTGAGGGTCAACCCGGTTGGACACCGACACAGGAGCGGCCTGAAATCGACACACACACACACACACACACATGGGTTGAAAGGGTCAGGCAGTCAGTCCCTGACTGTCTGCTGAGTGTGTCCGAAGCTGACCTGTGCTTGTGAGGTTCCTCTCTCCTCCCCTGTGGTGTGCACGGCCCTGAGCAGCATCCTCCTCTGCTCCATGTAGATGCGGCACACCATCTGCGGCTCCACCAAAGCACCGCCGCCCTCACCCACCATTGCCTGGTGCCTCTCGAGATGCATTGATATCTATGGCTATCTATCGGTGGAACCACCACGCCAGGAATATGCTGATGAGGGCGGCCACGACCATGAGTGTGCCGGTGGAGAAGGTGAGGGCGAGAGGAGGCGGTGCATTGACATCGATTCCGTCCTTCTCGTGGGTTTTGAGTGTGGGGTCGGGAGGGGGGACGATGCCATCGAAATCGTCGAACATCCTGCCTGGCGAACCTTGTGCCTTGCGGGGGAGGATCTTTCGTCTGCAAGCTCAGCTCGCAGACGGAGGAACCAGCGGGATGCGAGTGCACTTGCAAGGTGACGTGTCGGGATCTGAGTTCCCTCTGTCACAGCAGCTTCACCAGTATCAACACTGCCCAACGAAGGCATGGAAAGCTGCCTCTGGCCAGGATGATGATCTCACACACACAACGGCAATCGGACAAATTCTTTCTCCCTCCCTCTCTCTCCCTCCCTCCCTCCCTCCCTCCCAGCAGACGCCGACGTCACAGCCGCGGTAGTGAGCAGGGAGCCTGTGAGGCGTCAGATAGATGACGAGGGCAGCCCTGCTATGCTGCTGCCTTATCGCACTCGCGTCATCACCTTGCTGCCGGGCACAAGCAGTAGATGACGCCTCTCTCCGGGCCGGGGAGGCACAGCAGCAGAAGGGAGAGGCGCCCTTCAAACACCCGTTTGTCAACTTCTACGTGTCGCAGCAGGAGATGGTGGCAAACGGTGAAATGGAGGGAGGGAGGGAGGGAGGGAGGGCCGAGAGAGAGGCAGTGAGTGACAGCCCCGACACTCTCCGTGTGTTGCAGGTGTGCTGGACACGCCGCCGAAGGTGCCTCTGTACGAGGCGGTCGACTCCCCCAGTGGCCTGCGCTATGCCAGCATGGAGGGCCTTACCATCAGCAAGGAGGGCGACACCACCATGACCCAGACCATCGTGGAGCTCCCCTTCCGCCAGGCCGACAAGAACGAGCAGGCCGAGTGGCTGGCGGCTGAGGCCGCCGCTTTTCAGCAGCTGCCATTCGCTGCCAAGAAAGGCGCTGCCTTCTCCCTGGCAGAGGAGGGTGACGAGATGCGCGTGGCGTCATCGCTGCAGGCCAAGCTCAACCAGTTCCGGCAGGAGCATGAGGACGGCAAGCGGAGTCCGAGTGACGAGGGCCACGCCCTGAAGCTGCTGGTGTTCGGGGGCCGCACCGACACGAGCATGGACGTGCAGCACCAGCTGAAGCGCTCGATGGGCAGGGGGGAGGTGAGGACGATGGCGGACTTGCGGGACTGCAAGGAGAGGATCATGGACGGGAGGGGCAACGACACCGCCATGCGGGTGGCCTCCATCAAGTACGGCATCGACAGACTAAAGGGGAAGGTGCTGCAGTCGGGCGAGTACACTCCCATCGTCGTGGCCAACCTCAAAATCGGTAAGTACATCCATCCCATACCCGCCCCGCCCATACACACACACACACACTAGAGTGCTCCCTCCCTCATGTCCTTCCTCTATGTATCTGTGTGCGTCAGGCAAGATTGAGGAGCTGCTGACAGCCCACCCCGACATCGATTTCATCGCCGAGGACGTCAAGAGGGAGATCATCACGCCAGCCACCCCAACAGATGAAGTCGCCATGAGCCAGGACCGAAGGCAGCTCTCAGCGGGAAAAGACGACGCCAATGGCGCCCCCCGTCGCCGGCTGGTGTGTGACGGCCGCCACCGCAATGAAATTCACCACTTCGACAAGTTCTACCCCGACTACAACGGAGCCGGCACCTACTACGGCAGGGAGAACGTCCCTCTCGGCATTGCAGAGGTACGCCGGTGACACAAACACGACACGCAGAGGATGAGATGAGACCAATGTGTCATGTCTGTCGCTCAGGTGCCCTTTTACATCAGCGACAGTGGCGTCAACAACGAGCACATGGGTTTCCGGGCGAGCGCTGGCGGCCCCTTCCGCTTCACGGCGCCCAAGGGCGGGTACCTCTACAACTGCATCGACGAAGAGAAGGGCTGCAAGGAGGTCAAGACCTACGACGAGAAGGACGAGTCGGAGCACGCCACCAACGTCATGGGCCTGGCTGCCGGGGACGCCATGAATGGCCAGGCCACCAGCGAGTACGAGGAGGTCGACGACGACTGGAACAAGGCGCACACGGGGGTCTGCCCCAAGTGCTCCCTCTGTCACTACCAAACCAGCGGATTCGACTCGTCCCTCGCCGCTGCACTCGACGCCACGCTCGCCTGCGACAAAAAACACAGTGAGTATTCATTTACTCACCCCCCAACCACACAATACACACACGGTGTCTGTTGTCTGCACGGATGTGTCTGGTTTGGCTGCAATGCAGCCCAGTGCCCGAACATCATCAACTTCTCGGCCGGTGGCTACGAGAAGGACTGCTTGGGCACCGACGGCGGCAGCAAGGTGGGCAATTCCTTCTTCAAGAACGGCAAGTTGCTCATCGCGGCGAGCGGCAACGAGCGTGACGCGGTGGACGCCGAGACCTGCAGCGCCGCCTCGCCCGGCATGGCACACGCCGTCCTCACCGTCGGCAGCCTGGGAGGATTCGAGGACCTCGAAGAAGGCACCAACTGCGTCGGCGAGGAAATCTCGTACGCCTGACCCGACACACACAGCGCAGCAGAGAGCACACGATGGATGCCCTCCCTCAGAGACGGACGTGCTTTTGCTTGCGTGTGTGTGACTTAGTTACTTTTCGTCTGAGGGCGACTACGAGACGGATCGGTCGATCGTTGATGTGGTGTGCCAGGGGCTGTACACGTCCATGTACGATAAGGACGGCAAGTACCTCGCTGACGGCGGCGGCACCTCTTTCGCCTCACCTGTCATGGCCGGATACGCTGCCCTCTTCTCAGACTGGTCGGTGGGGTCGAACCACACACACATGACACCTAGATCCATGTGTTGTGTTGTGTGTGTCTCCTTCCCCTTCCAGGTATTTGTCGTCTGATTTCGGCAAAGACGTCCACGACCCCGGCGTCATGATGGTGGCCACCCTGTTGCAGACCAACTTCAAGGCCGGCAAGGACAAGTTCCTCGACCACGGCTTCGACCGACTCTACGGCGGCGGCGTGCTCAAGGCAGAGCGATTCGACAAGCTCAAGGAGCCGGCTGGCGTGGCGCTCGGAACCATGTGTGTGGCGGATGGCGAGGAGGTGGACATCGAAGTCGGCCCACTGGATGAGGACGTCGGCAAACTCACTGCCGTCATTTTTTGGTGAGTCTGTCTGCTACCGCACAGAGAGAGAGACACAGGGAGAGGTATCCTCGTGTGTGTGTGTGTGTGTGATTGTGTAGGTTTGATCCTCGTGCGGAGAAGGGTCAGACGTGGGCTAACCTTGACCTGAGCTGCGTGGACAAGAGCAGCAACAAGGCCGTGACGGAGAGCAAGGCTGTGCTGGACAACAAGGAGAGGTGCACCATTGGTGGCGGCACTGACGCCACCCTCCGTGTGAGGGCCGTGCGTGTGCCGGGGACTGACAAGCAGTGCGGCAGCAAGAAACAGCTCGTCTACTATGGGTCAGCACGCACACGCACACACATATGGGGCGATTAGTCTCCATGGTCGGTGTGTGTGGTTTGTGTGCGTTGACTGCAGGTACCTCTACCAGAGCGAGTGATTCTTTAGTCAGCCTGCCTGCCTGTCTGTCTGTCCGCCTTTTCATGTTTTCTGCGTATGTGTGTACGTGCGATGGATGCCATGGAATGTGTTTAAACGACCGACCGACCCCGTGTCAGTCAGTCAGTCAGTGTGTGGCCAGTATATTATTATCGCAATGCATCATCGCATATATCCTGCTGTTTGTTTGTTTGTTGATGTAACTAATTCCCCACCCGGCCACCCCGTGACCGTGAGCGTGCGTAGGTCGATCGCAATGTTGTCTGTCGTGTCGTCTGTAGTACCTGTGGATGACGACCCAACGCACCGGGGCGCGGCATCTCTTGTGTGTGCCATTTTACCCCCCTCCCTCCCTGACTCCCTCCCTCCCTGCCTGTCTGTCTGTCTGTCTGATTATCAGTCAGTATGGTCAATCACTCACATGAATGGAATGCTCTATTGAGCATCGGCTCGTCCCAACTCTTCCCCTGTGCGTGTCTCAGGGTGGACAGATAGCTAAGGCTCCTATAGCTGGAGAGATAGAGGTCGGTCTGTCACGTTGCGTGGGTCTGTCGTTTAGGTGTGTGTGTGTGCGTGTGGGCGTATGTGTGTGGTGTGGTTCTGTGGAGGGTGGTGTATCCTCATTTGGATGGATGGATGGATGGAGAGAGAGAGAGAGAGGACCCTTCCGGCCATCCACACCACACTCATGCGAAATGACAAGTGTTTGCCGTAAGGTACGTAGGTATCTTCTGGCTGGCGACAAAGCAAAGCAAAGCAAAGCAGGATTTCTGTGCCTACATGGAATCAGTGTTCTCATCTCATCCACACACATGAGAGAGAAATGGGTGAAGCGAGACACAGCCCGCCTGCCTCCACCGCAACAAAGACTAAGAGCAGCCGGGGCCCACTCCTTGCTGATCAATCGCAGCACGCATCACGTGAGCACAGCTCATTTAATTAATCCCCTGCCGCATCCCCACAAGTGACGGGCGATGCGATAACGTTAAGCTGCACATGGGCCCGCGATAGACTCAGTGGACGACACCTGAGGAACAGTGAGAGGAACAGTGGCAAATGTGAGTCTTGGCACGATGGCTGCCTCCATCTGCAGCTGACCTAGGCTGTGTGTCGACCTGGGCTACATAACTTCCGAGAGCTGGGTCATTGCAGTGAATCCCGCACCGGTTGAGTCAGACGGCGCTCGGGCCCGGCCGGGGCCCTCGCGCTAGCAATCATCAGCTGCTGCATTCATCGCACAAAGAGGACTCTGACACGGCTCGTTGCATCGCCGTGAAGTGTCAGGCGCCAGTGCGTCCCTTTCGTGGAGACAGACAACATCGTGGTCCCATGAAGATGCGCGAGGTCTGGTCTGCCCTTGACAAATAAGGCTGTCCTGTCTTGTCGTCCGGTCACTCAAACACAGCGCAACACAGCGCAACACAACACAACACACGCTCACGAACCTCACTCAAGCCAGCCAGACAGTCAGTCACCGGCCGACCAATTCACAGCCAACCACTCAGGCACCACAGCCACATACTGATGCCATGCCACCAGCCACGTGCAAGCTCGATCCTGGGGAGGGCAGGGGAAGGGGATGGATACCTCCCTCCCTCCCTGTCTGTCTGTCTGCCTGTCTGGTCCCTCCCTCCATCCACATGCATCGATCTGTCTGTGTGTCTATCGCATGGTGCTAGCCTGCAGCTGTTCGAACAGCAGGGCCGCCGCGAGCTCCACACTGCCCCCCGCACTCCTCAACGCGTTCTCGGCGTCCTGGCGCGAGAAACCCAAACCCACCAGCTGCTCTACTGCACTGCCCCCTTGAGCACCTGCAGCTCCAGCAGCTCCAGCAGCGGCGGCGGCGGCGGCTGGAGGGGCGGCCCCAGCCGATGCACTTGTGGTGCTGCTGGTGGACGGGCCACCGGCCGCACCACCGGTGGTGTTGGCTGCGCCGCTGGGCTGCCCGCCTCCCTCCGATTTTCGTTGGGTGGGGCTGTCCCATCCGCCGAATGCGGTGCCGCCGACCTCTGCCTCGGAGAGGAAGGGGACGGTCTCGTCGCCGACCCGCAGGACGTTGGCCTTGAGGTCGATGATGGCCTGGTGCCGACGCAGCATGTCCAAGCCAAACAGGAAATCCACCTTGTCATCTTAGATACACACACAGACACAGACAGGAAGACAACAGAGAAACACATCCATCCATCCATCCAGCGTGTCTGTGTGTGTGTGTGTGTGTCATGTGTGGGAGGCAGGGAGCTGACCCTCTAGTACGGTTATGGAGCAGGGGAAGTATCCATTGCCGAGCTTCATCTTGACTATGTGGATGCGGCCGACGATCTTGGAGGTGCCGACGCCCTTGGCGATGCCAGCGAACCTCTTGTCGAGGTTCTTGCCGAGGTGGCAGCGCTCCATGCACTTGACCGACATAATGGTGCTCTGCGCCCCGCTGTCGACGAAGGCCTTCAAAGGGATGTCGTTGATCTCGCAGTCGATGTAGAGCATGAAGACCTGCCCGAAGGCCTCAGGCATATGCTCCTGCGCCATCTCGTACTGCTCGTCGACGCGCTTCTCCAAAATCTCCTGCTCCACCCGGTGCTGCAGCTCCAGGTTGAACGGGTCCTCGGCGGCCAGCCGCATCTGACGCAGCCGCTCCTCCTCGGCCTTGAAATGACGCTCGGCGTTCTCGCGCATGAACCGCGAGACCTCCTTGAGGTCATCCCTCTTGACGGCGTCGGCCAATGGCGGGTGCATCGACACGAGGGTCCCGTAGGCGTGGGGGTCGTTGCGGGGGTGGTTGGCCTGGATGAACCGCTGCGCCAGCTGCTCCCAGTGCTCGGGGGGCAGCTCCTGCGGCGCCTGGGGCTGCTGCTGTCGCTGCTGCTGCTGCTGTCGGTTGACGTTGATCCGGCTGAAGTCGAACGCCGCCAACGGGTTGGCACCGGCAGACCCTGACAGACAGAACCCACCACAAGGGGAAACGGTGGACACACATACGTCCATTCCCGTATGTGTGCCCGTACCTACCTGATGAGGCCGAGGAGGATGCACCAGCACCACCACCAGCTGCAGCTGGCGCGCCTGCCCTCGCCATTGGGGGGTTGGCGGGTCTCTGGGCCATCAGCATGCGCCTATCGACCACCATGACGAGCTCCCCGTTGCTCAATCCTGCCTCCTTGAGCGTCTGGGTGGGCACCAGCGGCTTCCCGTTGTGGACGAAGGCCTGCTGGGCTGCGGGGATGGCAAGCTGGTCCTCCAGGAGGGTAGGCAGAGCTGACACGGCCATGTCGTCGGGCAGCTCAAGGGCGCCGGTCTGGCCCGTCACTTGGTTGATGAAGGTCAGCTGCATCGACATTCTTGCGATGGCCAAACACTGCGGGGAGGCTCCCTCTGCCTCTTTTCCTCTTTTCCTTCGAGACGCGCGAGCTTAAAATTGCGAGCTTGAAGGATGATCTTCTTCACGGAGCAAACGGTTGTTCGCTCGTGCCACATAGGAGCCCCACGGTGTGAGTGATTCGATGTCGCTGGCAGCAGATCTGCATCGGTGGCTGCAGAACGCCGACAAGTCGACGCTGTCCGCCATCGTGTGGACCGCCCTGTTCCTCCTCATCAGCGTCTATGTGCTCTTGACCCGCCAGCAGCACCACAACAATAATGGGCGGCAGCAGCAGCAGAGGCGCACGCAGCAGAGAGATCACGCCGTGAGAACCATACACACACACCCGGGAGACACAGGCGCCTTGGGCAGTGGATGAATGGCATTGAATGCACTGACTGATGTGGTGTGCTTCTCTCTCATGATGCGGTCCTTGGCCTGTGTCAGGCCCTCTCGTCGGCGGCAGCCTCATCGTCAGCCGACGCGCATAGGTCAGTCCGGATGCCTTGGTTCGATGGCTCATCCCTTGTCCACTACTTGTCATTGTGTCATTGTGTGTCTGTGTGTGTGTGTGGACAGGCCACAGGGGAAGCCGAAGGTGTCTTGCGCACTCAACGACGTGAGCACATCAGCTTAAGCCATTCACTGGGCACACCCACACACCCACACATGAAAATAACAGATGTTGCTGCCGTGTGACGTGACGGGCTGTGTTGTGTCCGATTAGGTGTTATTTCGTCGCGGGCCTGACGGCGGTCTGTATGTGGTGGACTCATCCGTCAACCCGATACTTGACCTCTGCAGCCTCTTCGCCCTATACGTCATCACACAGGCAAGATCGACAGACAGGCAGACAGACAGACAGACAGACCATTGGCGGGGCGTGTGTGTGGTGCCTGCCGCTGCGGTCCCATCTCTCTCTCTCTCTCTCTCTCTCTCTCGTGTGTGTGTGTGTGTGTGTGGTCAGGTGAGGAATGACGCCGACGAGCGTCAGGTGCGTCAGACGCTGGAGGTCATGGGGGCGTACCACAGGGGACTCAGACCACACGTAAGCATGCGACGGAGGATTCAGGCAGGACACACACGC